AAAATCGTACCCTGGAAAATAGCCAACAGCACAGAGCAGACCACCCTATGCCATTCCAGTACACAGCTCTTCTTCAGTCCCCTTACATGCTGCATCTCACCTCTCTCCAGTCCTCTCTTCTATCCCCTCCCTGCAGCACCAGATAAACCACTGTGGAATTTGGATAGTCACTTCCTAACTTTTTTAATGTCTAAGGTTTCCTTACTCCAAATAACCTCCCTATCCTAGCTAATTGTTTAAAGATTTTATTTTTTATTTGAGAGACAGAGAATGTGAGAGAGATATCGCAAACAGGGGGTGTGGTAGAGGGAGAAGGTGACTCCCTGCTCAGCAGGACTCAATCCCGGGACCGTGGGATCATGACTTCAGCCGAAGGCAGACTCTTAACTGAGCCACCCAGGTGCTGTATACTAGCTATTTTATATTTTAAAAAGGTATGACAGAAGTACTACACACACACAAATACGCACACAGAGGAATATCACTCAGTCATAAAAAAAGATCGAGATCTTGCCATTTGTAACAACACAGATAGAGGGTACATTATGCCAGGTGAAGTAAGTCAGGCAAAGATGAATACTATAAGATTTCACTTACATGTGGAATTGAAAAAATAAAAAGGCAGCAACAGACCCATAAATGCAAACAAACTGATGGTTGCCGCGAGAAAAGAGGGTGAGGGAGGATAGGCAAAATGGGTGAAGGGGACTGGGAGACACAGGCTTCCAGTTATGGAATGAATGAGTCACTGGGGGGAAAGGCACAGCTTAGGGAATGTAGTCAATGGTACTTTAACAGTGCTGTATGGTGCGAGATGGTAGCTACCCTTGTGGTGAGTACAGCATGACATAGGGACTTGTCTCCTTGTTGTGCTGTACACCTGAAACTAATGTAATATTGTGTGTCAACTAGACTTCAGTTTAAAAACATGGTCTCTAACTGTGAGACTTTTAGAACAGTCAATCCCTGGGCGCAACATCTCCTCATCTTTGAAATGGACATAAAGGGGCGCCTGGGTGGCTCAGTAGGTTAAGCCTCTGCCTTTGGCTCAGGTCATGATCTTAGGGTCCTGGGCGAGCCCCGCATCAGGCTCTCTGCTCAGCAGGGAGCCTGCTCCACCCCACCACCTGCTGCTCTGTCTACTTGTGATCTCTGTGTCAAATAAATAAATAAAATCTTAAAAAGAAATGGACATAGAAACGGTAACCACTCTGTGATTGCTGTGATGACTGAGAAAATACACGGCCCAGAGCTTGATACAGAAAGTGCTTCACACAGTTGCTATTATCACCTCAAATTTATTTGCAAATAAGAGGATGGGACATTCCCTGAGGTCTGAGAATTTCATCTTTGGACACTGGTTTAGACTCTGATTAGGTCCTTAGTTCTAAGTCCATGAATGATCTACTATTCTCAAAACTCCTTGATGTTACTGGATCTACTTCAACTTCCCTTGGAAGTTCATGAAGACATGAAGTTCCAATTATGCAGTACAGATCCAGAGAGACACTTTCTCATTGTATATGGGAACTATCCCAGGCCTCCTCAGTAAAAATGGGTGTCATAATTAAAAATTATAGATGCCTAGGGGCACCTGGCTGGCTCAACTCAGGAAAGCGTGCGACTCTTGATTTCAGGGTTGCAGGTCTGAACCCCATGTTGGATGTAGAGATTACTTAAAAATAAAATCTTTAAAAAAATTACAGATGTCCCAAGTAAACAAAGTAATTGGACCTAACATGCAGGAGGCCTGGCTTGGCTGAGGGCAGAGACAGCGGGCACTAAGTGTGGTGTGATGGAAAGAATGCTACACTAGAGTTAAGAAACAAAGGTTCAAGTGCCAGTTTGGTATTTTTAGCTGGGTAAGCAAGTTACTTCACCTCTCTTGTCCTTCATTTCCTCTTTATAAAATGGGGCTATGCACTAGATCAACGCTAAAGTTCTGTTTTAGCTCTAAGACTCCGTGATTCCATGGAAGGGTGAAAGCCAAGAGGATGGCTGGTAAGATCATCCCATAAATGCAAACAAACTGATGGTTGCCACGAGAATATAAAGATATGAGGCTGGAGAGGAAATAAGAACTAAGACTGAGATTGTGAAAGAAAACTATGGGTTAGTAAAATAAAGGATTCAAACAGTAAGTGAAATATTACCCATAAGGGTGCAGACCAGGAAGATGAGCGGGGCTGAATACCTAGGAAAAGACTAGATTAGGAAAATTCTAAAGCACCAAGAGCTTGGCTTATCTTTGGATCTGCAGTACCAGATGCAAAACCTTGTTCCGGGCACTAGGGAGCTGAGAGGAAGCATCTGGTGAACTAAGAGAGAGTACAGAACTCCAAAATCAAACTTTTCTTTTTCCCCCCAAATCAAACTTAAAGCTAGATTCTTCAGGTACACTGTATAGCTACACACAACTCCCAGCACAAGGTAAGAGCTTAGACTCTGAGAATAGGATTGCCTGGGTTCGAATCATGGTTCAGTGACTTACTGGTCGTGGGACCTTGAGCAAGTGACCTAATGTCACTGTACCTCAGTGTCTCCATCTTTAAAATGTGCATAAAACCAGAACTTCCCTCACAAGAAAATTATAAAGATTAAATGAGGCAATATATGGAAAACCCTTGAACAGGGCCTGGCATCCGTTAAGTACTAAGGAAGTGTCAGCTTATTTATTTTCTGCTGCAGAGTGGGAGGTTGATGTGAGTCACTGGAGAGTCACCTCGCTCCTTCCCATCAAGAGGATTCAGGAGCAGGGTTTTTGATCCAAGGCTGGAACCTAGAAAAAGAATTCCACTTCGTTGCCTTTTGTTTCCTGGGTGGAGTCAAGAGGAAAATGTACCAGAGGTCAGGAGGAAACCTAGCACCATTGGTAGTGCTGCCTGGGGCATATCAGCACTGCTCCCACCATTGCCCTCAGTCATTCCCAAGGTGCCACTGCAAGGAGTGTCAGGGGACTGGGGGGTGGGGGAGACAGATGACAAGTTAGGCAGACAGGGGATCCCCAATATGCCAGCAGGCTTTCCTTCAGGGAGCCGAATCTGCCCTGCCAGTCTCTCATTTACTTCAAAGGTATCACTAAGTAATCCTGAATAAAAGGCAGTTGTTTTTTGGTACCATGACATTAGGAATGATACCTTGTATTCCTTTTCTAGCCCTCTTAGAGGCCCAGCAGTTCCTATTTCTTGTGCCTAATTCTCCCCAATATGTTTCTATTTACCTCTTACAATATTATGCATTCTTAAGTTTCCTTCCAAATGCTATGCAAAATGCTGTTCATTCTACATGGCCACCGCTTCCCAGAATGATCACACACAGGAAAATATGGTGCATCAATGTCCACATTTACAAGTAAAAGGAGCACTTTAATAGAATCAACAACATTAGAGAGCTAAAACCCCACCCTGCCAATGCTCTCTCTTTACAACTGAGCTCCAAGGACTCATTTTATTTCCATCTGCAAGGCAAATATTCATTTGGAGTGGACCCAATAGTTAGGCTTGTGGATGAGACACTAAGGTTTCTTGAATTACTAGACTCTGACTTAGAGAATAAGCAATCGTGGTCCAACGACTCTCACTTCTTAATTCAATAGCCTATGGAAATTTCTCTTACAGGAAAGGGAGAAAGAAAGAAACTGCCATCAATTTGGGGCTAAACACTGGTGACTTCATCTCTGTGTGCCAAACAGCAGAAGATGCCTTGAGGGAGGCAGTGAGAGGAAGACTGGAAAGGAGGCTGATGCATGTGAGGATGCAGCACAGGCTGGCCTGATTAACAAGTTTCTCTGGATCTTTCCCCCATGTGCTCTGGACCTTCCGTGATATGGTATTGGAAACGTCGCTTTTTTTTTTTTTTTTAAGCTTTGATGATGACATTTCAAAAACAACCCTTCCAATAAATACAAGGAAGTTATATCTGGAATTAAAAACTTTCTATACATGAGCTAACGAAAAAAAAAAAACCTCACGAGGCTTTTTGTTTTGTAATGTTCCCTTCCTCTGATTTTAGTATAATTTTGGAAATCTTTCCATAATTTCCTCCCTCAAGTGTACAAAAATAGCTTTCAAAGGAGACTCAATCCAAGTGATTTTTTTATGACTGATTAGGTCTTGGCTTAAATAGGGGCATTATAAAGTGTAGTTTCCACTAGGAAATTTTTGCTGAAAGCAAAATGAAGAGAGAACATACCTCCTAAACAGTTATGCTGGAACCTAAAGGTTTCAGAACACGGTTAAACAAAAAGTTCTGAAATCCATCTGTGAAATTAATTTACATATTCCTTCATACAGGCAAATAAGATTAACACTGCCAAAGTAACAAAATCCCTTTTGTTGTTTCTCAAAGAGTAAATTTCAAGTCTTGTCATGTTATGTTGTTCTCAGAAGGAAAGTGCTCAAATGGTGCGTCAGACCAGAAATTCCTGTGGCATCAATGATGCACCGTTACTAAGTTAAGTGCTTTTTAAATTCAACTTATTGGCAGAACTCACTTAGGAGCATGAAATAAGCATAATGTGAGACAGAAAAGACTAAACTAAAAGACTATGACAAACTGGAACAAAAACCTAGTCCAACAGGCAAGGACTATTAGAGGATAAGGCTAAAAGCAAGCTTGACTCACATGCTTTCAGTAAATCAAGAGCTATTTATTAAAATGCCTATTATGAACAGGGAGCACAGGAGAGACGAGGGTAGAATACGACATTCAGATCCTTTCTATAAACAGAAACACTCATCTCCACTTGTGTGCTTTGGTATTGGAGGGGGTTGAAATTTGGCTCCCCCAGAAGTTTTTTTCTGTTCAGTTTCTTAATCTCTCTGAGCCTCAGTTTCTCAATCTGAAAAACAGGGACAATAAAACCCATCAGTCCCCACTGAATTAAATGAGACAAAATAGGGAAAGTGTCTCTCATTAGATGTCAATACACATTATTTCCTTTCCCATCGTATACTGTCAATAAAGCTGTCTCTCAGAAGTAGTAAAATGCAGCATTCTACCTGGAAAGGGTCTGTCTTCATCACCCCCATGCAGAGGAATTCCCTTGTTTTCTGGCATATACTTTCTGGTAATGGGCAAGGACATCAGCCGGATATGATGGATGAGTGAGCGCCAGGTGTGAGCTCCAGAAAGCACTGGTTCAGGTGGTAATGGGCTGAAAGGTTGAATCACAAAGTAGGCAGTGAGCAAGATTAATCCCAGGGTTACAAGGACCTACAAGGAAAGACAGGGAAAGGATTAATAATTGTCCCAGCAAAAAAATATTTTAATGCCAAGAAAAAACCCTGCCTCTTCTATTATTTCCAATTTGCCTTAGAACTAATCCATTTTCATAAACAAGTCATTTACATCCACTTCTGAAAGCATTTAAAGTTTGATTTTGAGGGGTGCCTGGATGGCTCAGTGGATTAAAGCCTCTGCCTTCGGCTCAGGTCATGATCCCAGGGTCCTGGGATCGAGCCCCGCATTGGGCTCTCTGCTCAGCAGGAAGCCTGCTTCCCCCCCGCCCCCCGCCTGCCTCTGCCTACTTGTGATCTCTGTCTGTCAAATAAACAAACAAAATCTTAAAAAAAAAAAAAAAAAAAAAAAAAAGTTTGAGTTTGAGAACTATGAGGACTGCAATGCTCATCAAGCTTCTATCATTTGAAAAATTATACAAAAAAAAGTTTAAAATATACACAAATACAGTTTAACTATAAACATATAGCTTCCATCTAGGATATTTAACAAAATAGTCAAATTTCCTAGTAACACATGGTAATGAGAGCAAAGGCCAAATTATTCACAGAAAAACTAAGGTTCAGTGGTGGAATCAGAGGAGAGTAGTTTTTGGAGAGAAAGTTGAAGAATTTGTGTTCTATAAGGTATCTCCACATCAGAACACATTTTTACCTTATACATAGCTATCAGGAGAGGATACTGGGGTGGCCCTCTCTGAGGTTCATTCTTTTCCAGGAGCTGTCGGATAAATTTTTCAATTGCCTTCTCTGACATGCCACACTGATGGCCTGTTTGTCTCACCAAATCAACAGTCTCTGAAAGTTTGTCATAAATGCTGAGCTCACTGGCGGCGAGATCCATGTCTTCCAATACAAAATCCCTGGGAGAAAGAAAATAAATGTAAAAACAAAGATGGTTTCTTTCAAGTACTTCCTCCTCAAAGCTCCTTCCTTTAGAACAGCGCTTCCTGACCATCTGTGGGGACAGAACCAGCTTTGTGTTTTTCCTAATCCACTGCAGGCCAATGTTTTTGTAAAACAAAATCGATGTCTAGACAATGTCAAGTTAGTGGCATACAGCTTTTAGGTGTTTCTTAATTGTGGGGTAGTAACAAATGGTTTACAGACCAGTATTGGGTTCCCAAACACTTTGAGGAATGCTAGTCTAAGAGCACAATAAATAAATGAAATGGGACCCTGAAACACTAGTACCAAAATGCTTTCTGAAACCAATCACAAGAGGTCTGTTACCAGTAATTTATGTAAATAAAAAGAAACACAACATGGAGTCTTGTTGATCTTATTGCTTTGCATTTACATCAGATACGCCTTTTAGCAACACAGGAGGAGGAACTAATCACTGAAAGCAAGATTTACTGTGCGTAACAAGCTGATACTCTTTGTTACTGTTAGAGCAAGAATTTCAGGCAACACGGAAACCATGGCACTGGGTCTTCAGACCTGGTACGTTGCAGTCCTCATGCTTTTCCACAAACACAACTTTAGAAAATAAAGAGCCTTTTATTCGTGTTTTATATACTTAAAAGACCTGAGATCTTTAATTTCAAAATTCAATTTGTTCTCATAGTTACTTCAAAGCCACTGTTTCACAGTAGCCATAGAATAAAAGGTAAAAACTAAAGTGGCGAAGTATAATACTCTCTTGTAACATTTGTAAAATGCAGTCAAATAGTTCTTTTAAAGACTGCTTGTGTTTAAAAAAAGAAAAAAAAAAAAGTATTTCCTTCATTTATAGAAGGAAAAACAGAGGGGCGCCTGGATGGCTCAGTCGTTAAGCATCTGCCTTAGGCTCAGGTCATGATCCCAGAGTCCTGGGACAGAGCCCAGCGTTGGGCTCCCTGCTCAGCAGGAAACTTGCTTCTTTCTCTCCCACTCCCCCTGCTTGTGTTCCCTCTCTTGCTGTGTCTCTCTCTGTCAAATAAATGAATAAATAAATAAAATCTTAAAAAAAAAAAAAGGAAGGAAAAATAGGGCTTGGGATTTATGTTCTCTTCTATTGGTCTTTTTCCACCTTAAATGTAGAGGTCCTCTTATCTCACATACCTCATCCCCAAAGTGCTTCTAACCCCAAAAAGCACTGACAGGATACAATTCAATTTTTTTTAGTAAGGAGATGCTGCCACCTGTAGAGCAGAGGACAGCAGTCCTGGAGGTCAGCAGAGAAAAGCAGGCCCACAGTGCCACCAGCCAGCGAGCACCTCAGCCTATCTCCCCTTCGAGCAGAGCCTCTGGGGGACTGACTGATTGACTGGTGCTCTTCATGACTCTTAGCCCTTTAGTTCACTAGTTATGAAGTGGGCCTACACATTAGAATCACCTGGACAGTTCCCCCCACCAAGATTTTATTTATTTATTTGACAGACAGAAATTACAAGTAGATAGAGATGCAGGCAGAGAAAGGAAGGGAAGCAGACTCCCTGCTGAGCAGAGAGCCCGATGTGGGGCTTGATCCCAGGACCTGGGGATCATGACCTGAGCCAAAGGCAGAGGCTTTAACCCACTGAGCCACCCAGGCGCCCCACTCCCCCGGACAGTTTTTAATGAACGCTCATACCAGGACATCAACCAATTAAATCAGAAACAGACTTCTAATGGTGAATTAACAGGCAGGGAATCTAGACTTTGAGGAACTGGCTGGGGGAGGGGAGAAACCCCCCACACCTAATGAGGCTAAATCCCTTCCCCAAAGTCTTTGCTCTTGCTCAGTGTTTTTAATACGCCATACAGGCTTTCATTTCAAGGTTCAGATAAAAGGATGGGTAAACTCTATTTAGAAATGTGTATTTTCGGGGTGCCTGGGTGGCTCAGTGGGTTAAGCCTCTGCCTTTGGCTCAGGTCATGATCTCAGGGTCCTGGGATCAAGCCCCGCATCGGGCTCTCTGCTCAGCAAGGAGCCTGCTTCCCCCTCTCTTTGCCTGCCTCTCTGCCTACTTGTGATCTATCTCTCTCTAATAAATGAATAAAATCTTTAAAAAAAATATGTATTTTCAACCAGTGGTTCTGGGACAACGAGATATCCACATGCAAAAGAATGAAATGGGACCCTTCCTTCCACCATACACAAAAATGAACTCAAAATGGATCAAAGACATAAACTTAAGAACTAAAATTATAAACCCTTAGAAGAAAACGTGGGGGAAAATCTTCACGACACTGGATTAGGCAATCGTTTCTTAGATATGGCAAGAAAAGCATAAGCAGCAAAAGAAAAACTAAATTGGACTACATTAAAATAAAACATTTTTGTACTGCCAATGATACCTTTTAGGAAAGTGAAATGACAACCCACAGAATGGCAGAATGCATATGCAAACCATATTATCTGATAAGAGATTGCTATTCAGAGTAAAGAATTAGTACAATTCAATAATAAAACGACCCAATTTTAAAATGGACAAAGAACGTGAATAGACATTTCTCCGAAGAAGATACACAAATGGCCAATAAATTCATGAAAAGATGTTCAACGTCATTAGCCATCAGGGAAATACAAATCAAAACCACAATGAGACACTACTTCACAACCACGGGGATGGCTATAATGAAAATATCATATAAGCTGGCAAGATGTTCAGCACCTGGAACCCTTGTACACTGCTAGTGGGAATATGGTACAGCTGCTTTGGAAAAGTTTGAGTTTCTCAAAAATTTAAACAGAGTTGTTATATGATCCAGTAATTCCACTTATAAGTATGAACCTAAGAGAATTAAAAACATATTTCCACACGCAAACTTGCATACAAATATCCAAGCAGCATTATTCAGAATAGCTCAAAAATAGAAGCAATCCAAATGTCCATGAACTACTGAATGGATGAATAAAATATGGTATACCCACACAATGAAATATTGGACAATAAAAAGGAATAAAGTATTGATACATGCTACAACACAGGTGAGACTTGAAAATATTATGCTAAATGGAAGAAGACAGTCACAAAAGATAACATAAGACTTCATTAATAAAATGCAAACAGTCAAGAATAGAGGCAATCTATAGAGACAGAAAGTAGATTCATTAGTAGTTATCCAAGGGAGGGAAGGGAGAATGGGGCGTGACTGTTAGTAGATACAGTGTTTCTTTCTAGAGTGACAAAAACGTTCTAAACTTAATTTGTGGTGATAGTTGCACAACTCTGTGAATATACTAAAAATGTACACTAAATCGTACATTTCAAATGGGTGAATTTCATGGCATATAAATTAAAGCTCCAAAAAGACATTTTTAAAATCTGTATTTATAGAATTTCAACATATGCCTGTTGTGGCATTTATTACACTACACTGCTATGATCTGGCTATGTCACTTGGTCTACTCATCCAAAAAATAAAAGGACTGTGAAGTAGGAGGTTTTCAAAGTCCCCTCTAGCTCTAAAATTTTAAGAGTAGATGAAGACTTCAGGAACTAGAAAAAATTCAGTTCATTAGAAATTAAGGACTTATGCCGAATTGCATTGCTATCCCACTTCCTGTTATGCCATCCTATATGCTAGGCATCATGCTAAGCACTCTAGAAACATTATCTTTGTAAATCATCATAGCAATCCCAGAAGGTAGGTGTGACTTCTTTTTATTAAGTTTTTAATTTTAATTCCAATATAGTTAACATACAGTTCTATCAGTTTCAGGTGTACAATATAAGGATTCAACAATTGTATATGTGACTCAGTGCTCATCACAGGTAAGTGTACTCTTAATCTCCTTCACCTATTTCACCCATTCCCTCACCAACCTCCCCTCTGGCAACCGTTAGTTTGTTCTCTACAGTTAAGAGTCTGTTCCTTGGTTTGTCTCTCTTTGCTTTCAGTTTTGCCAAAAGGTAAGTGTGATTAATCCTATTTCTCAAATATCGAAACTAAGCTCAGAAAGGTTCCATAACTTGCTGGGATGTGAAGTCAAGTGTGCCTGACATCAGGGTTGATGCTTTTAACCTTTATGCATGCTGCCTCCCTTACCAAGTATTTTCCTACTCTGAGCTGGCAGTACAGAAACCGCAATACCGTGTCCCTCAGTTATCACAACCGAGTGGTTGAGAACTGGAAAAGTGAGCAACTACAATGATTCCTGGAAAAATAAAGCAGTAACTTATAACAGTATTTTTTACATTGTGATTTTGTGACTAGTGATTCCAGAGACAGAATTTTTCTGTTGAAATTAACAGACATTCTAAGCAAGCAAGGATAATGTTCAAACAAACCATAATTAATTACCCAACAATATCCAGTCAAAATCCATTAAAATTTAGTAAAGGGCCAGAAAAGAGAGCAGTGAGAATACGAGAAAAAAATCCCAATAAAAAATCTCAAAGTGTTGGAAGGTGGAGCACATGTAGGTAGCCCTCAGGCAACAGAGAACATCACATTATTGTGCCTTCAGGAGAACTCTGAAAGGAACAAAAGCACAAGTGAGGAGAACTAACAACCATCATTTCTGATGACAATTTCACAACCTTCCGTAAACCTCTGCTTACTTTTAATACACATAAACATTTCACCAAACCCAGAGTTTGTATTGTAAAAACAGGGTTTTCTTTGTAATTCAAGTATACAATGATATTACAATACTGAATATATTTTTGCTAACTGTACATCCTTCTTCCTTGAGATTCTGACACACTTCCCAAGTTATGGGATGGATTATTACTAATAATTTCATAAAGTTTCTAAGAGCATATGGGGATCTTCATCATAAGTCCTCCTTTTGGCTTTGGTTAGACCAGTCATCCTCACCTGGGGGCGATTCAGGACAGGGGACATTTGGAAAGTCTGGAGACATTTTTTATGGTCATACTGGAGGGGTACTGGCATCTAGCAAATATGTTAATTAAACATACACAAAAAATGTCCCTTTGGGTTGGGATTTCATACTAGCAAAGCAGCTCCTTGTTGTGATCTGGAAGTCAGTCCTCCACACAAGGATTTGTATTAAAAAATAATAATAATAAATCTTGTTCTTTAAAAAAAAAAAGTCAAACACATAGTCATGGCTAAGTATCAAGCATGAGGGGACTGACTGAAATCAGCTGAGCCTTGATGGCAATTCCTTTACCTCCAGAAAGAAAGAGAGATCCAACTCTGGCAGGAATGAGCTTTGCCACAGAGGGAAGTTCCAAGTGCGCTTGACTCCTAACAGTGGCTTAGACCTGCAAGGGCACAGGCAGGGTCACCAGCAAAATTATGAAAATCAAGGTATCATGCACCCCCCTGGACAGAAGGAACTGCTAGAACATCTGGGAGTGGGATCCAGGTGCAGAAGTATTCAAACTCTTCCCTGTTGACTAAAGGCACACCCCCAATTATGAGACACTGCTTTAGCTAGCAGTTCTCCACTGGGGAAGAGTTTGTTCCCCAGGGGACATGTGGCAATGTCTGGAGACATTTTAGATTGTCAAAACTGGAAAGGCACCATTAGCATCTAGTGGGGAAAGACTAAACATCCTACAAGGACAGCCCCCTATAACAAAGAACTGTCCCACTTAAACTATTAAGAGTGCTGAGGTTAAGAAATTCTCCTTTCAAGGGAGGCCGGGGTGGAGGTGAGGGGAGAGGTAAGCCAGGAGGCTGTTTGCTTCTGAAGGAGCATCTCAGGAAGAGAAGGAAGCCACTGACAGCTCTGATGAGATGTTCTCCACAATTCCTTCTGGGTCTCAGTCTAGGAAGAAAACAGGACAGAGGCATAGCTGACAGAATGACCCTGACAGAACTTATCAACAAAAATATTTAAAGCAGAAAACAGGTTAAGAGGTCAGAGTAAGGGGCGCCTGGGTGGCTCAGTCAGTTAAGCATCTGCCTTTGGCTCAGGTCATGATCCCAGGGTCCTGGGATCAAGCCCCACACAGGGGTCCCAGCAGGAAGACTGCTTCTTCCTCTCCCTCTGCCTCTCCTCCCCGCCACCCCCCCCCCAACTTGTGCTCTCTCTCACATAAAATCTTTTAAAAAAAGAAAAAAAAAAAAAGAGGTCAGACCTAATGTCAACTTCTGCTTTGTCCTAATACAAAATTAGAGTTATAAATATGTACCAAGCACTGATTTGACATCACCCTGGAGGGTCTCGGTTTACCAAACTAAACAGCTGTGCCAGTTAGGCAACTCTGAGATGCCATACTGATGCATCTAGCTAAAACATGAAAGGGAAAATGCTGTATTTCAAAAAGAAAGTTTCAAAAACCCATCTAAATATGTCCCAGGGGCGCCTGGTGGCTCAGTCGTTAAGCATCTGCCTTCAGCTCAGATCATGATCCCAGGATCCCGGGATTGAGCCCTGCATCGGGCTCCCTGCTCAGCGGAAAGCCTGCTTCTCCCTCTCCCACTCACACCCCTTGCTGTGCTCCCTCTCTCACTGTATCTCTCTCTGTCAAATAAACAAACAAGTAAATAAATAAATATGTCATAATCTTCAATAGTGGGAACAATATCTCGAGTAATACTAAATTTTCTTTTTTCAGTACCAGGTTCTTTAGTGCTAGCTATGCAGTATGATAAAACCATTCCTTAGTGTTACGAACAAATTCCATTCTATTTTATCCAGTGATTCCCATTAACTGAAGAAGTTCTACTAAAATGAAAAAAATGCAGCCTTTGGTATAATAAAAACCACTAAAAAAACCCCATCATATTTATTTATTTTTTTAATGTATTTTTTTAAAAGAGTTTATTTATTTATTTGACAGAGATCACAAGTAGGCAGAGAAGCAGGCAGAGAGTGAGAGGGAAGCAGGCTCCCCGCTAAGCAGAGAGCCCCTTGCGGGGCTCGATCCCAGGACTCTGAGATCATGACCTGAGCCGAAGGCAGAGGCTTAACCACTGAGCCACCCAGGCACCCCACAAATACAATATTTAAAGAAAAAATAGTTGATGAATATTAAAACAAGAGGATTTAAAAGAGCAGGAATTAAAAATGCAAAAAGTGCTCAAAATGTACAACTGACGGAATAGATTTTTGCAGGTTTTTTTTTTTAAGATTTTAATTATTTAAGAGAGAGAGAGACACAGCGAGAGAGGAAACACAAGCAGTGGGAGAGGGAGAAGCAGGCTTCCCGCTGAGTAGGAAGCCCAATGCCAGGCTCTATACGGGATTCCTTCCCAGGACCCTGGGATCGTGACCTGAGCTGAAGGCAGCTGCTAAACAACTGAGCCACACAGGCACACCTACTTTTTTGCAGTTTTATCATCATTTGACTAAGTCCTCTTTCTGGACATCTCTGTCCAGTGAAACCTGGTGAGTCTGATACTTTCTTTGCTCACTGAAAATACGTCTCTTCCACTTTTTCCAGTTGCCTATTTTTGAAAAATTGTAAGCCTCCAGAAAAAAGAAAATACTACAATAAACACTTGTATATTCTTCCCTTAGACCAACTGTTAACATTTGGCCAAATCTGCTTTATCTGTCTCCTCTCTGCTTTTGCCAGAATCATTTAAAAGTTAGTTGCAACACATCATGAAATCACTTCTAAATATTTCAGCATGCATCTCCTCAGAATGAGGACACTGCTCTACTTAATCATAAGCAAAATTATCATACCTACAAAATAACTCTCTAAGATTAATATCCACGCCATAGTCAAATTTCTGTTAAAGAAAGGCTATATAGTTTTTTAGAAACCCAAGATCCAATCAACAGTCACACATCACAACTAGCTGTCATGTCTCTTTGGTTTATTTAAATCTAGAACAGATCTTGGCCTTTTTTTTTTTTTTTGTCCTTTATGATAGGAATATATTTGAAGCAGTAACCCCCATCCCATTTTAAAACTTATTTTTACCTGGTCCTATCCTCACCTTCTCTAGTTTCTATCATTAAAACAACAAACTCTTCCTCTCTAGAATTCCAGTGCTCATGTTCTCCCTCCCTTCTGAGCCAAGTTCCTTTAAAAAAAAAAAAAAAAAAAAAAGGCATCACTTCACCTTTTTTCTCAGATCTCCATTTGTTTACTAACCTCTTGAAATTATATTTCTGCCCTGCTCACACCGATAATACTCTCACTCAGGCCACCAATGGCTCTCTACATGCCAAGTCCAAAGATTTTGGATGTTTTCTCAACTATCACCTTATCTGACCTCTCTGCAGAACCTGCTGTTGCTATCTATTTTCTCTCTCAAGTGCTCTCAAACCTTGGCATAATTCTCTTTTCTCAGAGACTATACCCCTGAATGTGGTATTTATCATAGTTGTCCTCAATCTTCTCATACCCCTCTATGGCTTTAACTGCCATCTATTAGTGATTCCAAATCTCTTCTCCGGTCTACAACTCCAGAACTCCAGACCCATCCATCTACCTACCTACCAGACACCATGGCCGAAATTTCCTACTATCTCTTATATGTAATGTGTCCATAACTGACTATTTTCCTCCCTGCAACCCATTTCTCCTACTATATTGCTTTGTAATTAACAGAAACACCAGTTCTCCAGATTTAAAACCTCTCTTCCACCTTCCTCATCACCACCAATGAACCAATTGCTAAATCCACAATTCCACCCCCTGTATAGTTCCCACCTTCATCATCTTCCCTTTAGCTCTACATTAATGGCAGTTAAGGCCCTCAAAATCTCTCCCTGGACCATCACAAAGATATACTTTATCTCTACACTTCCAGTCCTCCTTCTCCTCTCCAATCCGTCTTCTACTCTCTCCACAAATTATTTTTCTGAAACACAAATTAGTTCATGTTACTCATCTATTTAAAGCAATTTCCTTGGGGCACCTAGGTGGCTCAGTGGGTTAAAGCCTCTGCCTTCTGCTCAGGTCATGATCCCAGGGTCCTGGGATCGAGCCCCACACCAGGCTCTCTGCTGGGCAGGGAGCCTGTTTCCCTCTCTCTCTCTGCCTGCCTCTCTGCCTACTTGTGATCTCTGTCTGCCAAATAAACAAGTAAAATCTTTAATATAAATAAATAAAGCAACTTCTTTGAGGGGGTTCCTGGGTGGCACAGTTGGTTAAGTGTCCGACTGTTGATTTTGGCTTAGGTCATTTCCTCAGGGTTGCGAGATCAAGACCTGAGGCCTAGCGTGGAGCCTGCTTAAGATTCTCTCTACCCCTCTCAAATAAACAAACAAATAAATAAAATAAAGCAACTTCCTTGAATCCCCATGACCTGCTATGCAACAGTGTAGACAGTGGGTAAGAAGGCAAATGGAGTTGGAAAAAGATGGATAATTACTTGATCTTCCATCTACTGTGTAGCCATAGCAATACCACTTAATCTAAGCCTCAGAGTTTTCATTATTTTATAAAATGTTGTTTAGGGATCATAAGATGATGAATGTAAAACATGTGTCCCAATACCCAAATTTAATACTTAGTAAATGTCATAAGATGAAGCCCAAATTACTTAGCATTGGCCCTTTATGACCTGGTCAACTGCTTACCTGTTCAGTCTCATTTCCCATTCCTTCTTCACATGCTTCACTGCCATACCATTTCACATCTTTTTGCTTTTGCACAAGTAATTTCCTCTGCTATAAAGTCTAACTCCCATAGATTCCCAATGAGTGAACTCCCTATTCCAGCCTTGATGTTTGTCCTTTGAACCTTAAACACAACTCAATCACTCTATATTATACCTATTTCCATGTCTCCTCACACTACATTGTTTTCCTTGAAAAGAAAATCACAGGGGCACCTGGGTAGCTCAGTTGGTTAAGTGTCTGCCTTCAGCTCAGGTCAAGAACTCAGGATCCCAGGATCAAGTCCCACATTGCGGGGGGGGGGGTGTCCCTGCTCAGCAGTGTGTCTGCTTCTCCCTCCCCTTCTGCTCCTCCCCTTGCTCATGCTCTTTCTTTCCCAAATAAATAAAATCTTCAAAAAAAAAAAAAAAAAAAGGGGTGGGGGTGAAAATCACAGGCCCATAATGGTGTCCTTAGGTAAAGTCAGTAAACCAAGACTTAACACCTAACCTAACTGCAGTTTCAAACCCCCTAGAACTTAACCAGCCAACACGGAATTTCTGGTCAGTGCTAGAAAATTTACTGATAAAACTTTTCCCATTTCCCTTAGGTGAATGACCTTGCCAAAAAAAAAAAAAAAAAAAAAAGCCTTTATTTTTTAAAGATTTTTTATATTTCAGATTTTATTTTTTAAATTTTTATTTATTTTTAAAGATTTTATTTATTTGACACACAAAGATCACAAGAAGGCAGAGAGGCAGACAGAGAGAGAGGAGGAAGCAGGTTTCCCACTGAGCAGAGAGCCTGATGTGGGGCTCGATCCCAGGACCCTGGGATCATGACCCGAACTGAAGGCAGAGGCTTTAAGCCACTGAGCCAACCAGGTGCCCCTAGATTTTAT